CTTAAGAACAAGTCTGACCATCTAGCAGTTAGCCGAGGGGTAATCAGTCTTATTTTTTTTGGATTCAACCTAGACTAATCTGTTTTTATTTAGCCCCATAGACTAGAGGCTATGCAGTCTGTACCGGAAGATTAGTTCACCTCTCGAGTCTTCAGGTCCAAGTCGTTCGTTCTTTTGTCACGTGACGTGAGAGCAGCAGTGGATACAGAGATTAGTTAATAATTCCAATCTTCCTTACAATCAAGCGCGTAGTTTGTTTCTTTACTCTTACAGTTACGTAACTTTTCTGGTCTCAAATTTGATTTGAGCTTTATAGCTTTTTATTTCTTACAATTTATAAATTTGTGAATTTCTGTGATGATTCTTTTCCATAACATTGAATGTGGTAATGAAGAGTTGGTTAATGCTTTAAATTTTATCCGTATGATGGGGAAAATCACTTTGATAATTTGAAAATATAACACAACATTACAAGATACTGATCCGGGAAATGTGACAAAAGAACGAACGAGCTGAAATTACAGACTGCACAGTCAGCTAAGCAATGAATTAATAATTTGTTTCTTATAAGTTGGTCTTGGTTGCATTACAGTTTATATAATGTGATCAATGTTTGCGTAAATAGATGTGTTGGGGAATTTGGATATTAACATGTAACATTTTAATTATATTCTGCTGAAATTAACTAAATGACTTGAAAAAGGTTTAGTTTGTTTTGCTGAACGAGATTCAAAGATCCGTGTCAGTAAAATGATCCGAACTCTTTTTTTTTTTTTATTAAACACTTGCATCCAAATTACACACTGTACTCTATGCACTTATCCACTATGTACTTAACCATGTACTGTATGAATTATATAAGGTTATTTTGTCATTCATAATCGGAGTCTGATAGCCCCTCCCCCTTTGCTACGTAATTAAAGCTGTGACAGTTGAGTGCATGACGTGTCCAACATTCCACACTTCGTTTTTTCGGGTATTTAAGTGTGTCATCCGGGTATATAAAGTGCACTTTTTGTTGGAATTTTCAGTGTGAACATACTACTCACACTATTTATACTAAAAATAAGTCATAGAATAGTGCATAAGTACACGATTTGGGATGCACCTTTACTTACTTAGGGAATACAAAAGTGAAAAAACATATGCCAAGGAAAAGAGCCAGGGGTTCAAGGATGGCCAAACAATGCATGTTTGGAATGTAAGATGTAATGTAATGTAATTAAAATGCAAGTAAGAGAGAATATGATCCGAACTTCCCATCTCTAATGTTTTGGCGTATGATGTGTTTATTGAACCAATCAGATAAGAGTAAATGGATAGTCAGTGACAGCCGCATTTGATCGACTACCAGAAGAAGGTGGATCCGCCCCTTCCTCACTCTCGGGTGAGAGAATCGTGCCAAAACTGAAAGAGCTTGTATTCGGGTTACTTCAGGAACTTTTTGTCCTACATACACAGTCATTTTGACATTTGCAACAGTTTTTCAGATTGGTTCTACGCAGTCAATTCATTTTGCAGTTCTTTAAACTGTTGTTTTCACTTGCAAATCACAGGCTTGCAGTGCTTTGGCCGTATTTCAGCAGAAAAAAAAAACGTGCCAAAAGTGTAAGCGTGGAAAAATACAAGTCAGAAGAATACAAATCACATTTATTTTGCGTCAGCATGAAGCAAGCTGCAGTTTCACACTGCATGAATTACACTTAAGAATAACAGTAAAATGATGCAAATAATTTTTCTTAGGCCTCAAAGGCGATTTACACCTTTACAAAGCTTCTCTTGCACATGCAAATTTAATTTACACTTACAGTCTTATGTACACTTCCACAACTCTCACCCTGCGCATGCAAATCTTTATGGCATCATTTTACCTCATTTAGACACAGGTTAAAGGGGTCATATGATGCGATTTCAATTTTTCCTTTCTCTTTGGAGTGTTACAAGCTCTTGGTGCATAAAAAAGGTCTGTAAAATTGCAAAGACTAAAGTCTTAAATCCAAAGAGATATTCTTACCTCGCCTACCTAAAACGGCTCGTTCTAACACGCCCACACATGCCTACGTCACGATGTGGGAAGATTTGCATAACGCCGCCAAAATGTTCACGCAAAGAAAGGCGGCGTAACTTTTATTCTCGCTGTAGTATTGTTGCCGCCGCCACCATGTCCTGAAGGCGCCGTGTGTTTCGTTGTGAAAGCGAAACTACTTTGTTTGGTCTTCCAATGTGTGCAGCACATTTTATGGAGGACTGTTTCCTGATCCTGGTACAGTAGACTACAATGCCGTCTGTTCTGACTCACAGACTGTAAGTACGTTTTCATATTTAAAGAGTTTGCCACTGACGATTCAAACACGAGTTATGAGCAGAGTAGCGCTTGTTGTTTGTCATTTCTCCGATCACAAATGCAGACATGGTTTTATGTTTACACGGCACGATGCAACGCAACGCGTAAAAAGACAGTATAAGTCATTATAATCCGTAATTATGTCTAGGGCTGTGACGTGGCAGATTTTTTCCACCGCGGTGGTAATGGACCAACTACCGCCGGTGGCGCGGTGTTGATATATATAATTAATATTAATCATATAATTTAATTTTTAAAAACAAATAATAAATGAGGCTCATTCATCGATTAACAAACGTGCGTGTTTATTTTAGCACTTCCGTCAGTGAACACGCAGCCTGCAAAACACTAAAATAAATATCAAAGAAATAATACAGTTAAACAAGAAAGTAGCCTAAATAAGAAAG